ATGAAAAGAGGATGCCAAAGTCAGGCATAAGTGTCACCTGAACAACAGGCTCAAGTATATTCTTTTCTTGTGGTAGAAAACATTTTCCCCACACAGGAAAGAACGATTATTGTGAGAGCTGCAGAGGTCTGTGGACTCACTAATTGTGATGTGCTGGGCCTGAAAAAGTGAAGCAGATTATCTTTGCCCAGTCCTTCACTGAAAGGTTCTAATCCCCTGTTCTCTTCTCCCTGCAGTACCCTCCTTACTGTTGGCTGAGACTCCTGTCTTCCTTATCGCAACAAAGGTGGACTGATAAGGTCACCAGGTTAAAACCCAAGGCTTGAGCCAGTACTTAATGTACAGTGTTCATTTACACAGTCATTATTTCTCTTTTCTGCTCCCTTAACTAGTATTTAAATATTCCAAGTGAAGTGGAATAGGTCGAACATGAGCCATTAGTGACCAGAATCCAGAATACTCTGTAGCCTGTTTATTGGAGTGTTCATCTGGGGAGTGAAACAGGCAAGTCAAAATCTACCAGCTCTCTCATTTAGAGCAGACTGCACTGAGGCTTCTCACATCTCAACTGAATTGCCCTAGCAACAATATTATTATTGAAAAGGGAACAACTTCTTTTTTTATAGTATCATTACTAGCCCTCTGCTTTTAATATGCGCAGGCTTAAAAAGGCATCACACATTAAATATTTCGCTTATTTTTTTGTGCTGTTGGCAGAACAAGGATTGTTATACATAAAATACCTATGAACTAACATAAATATGGAGAATTACTATTTTACATTTGAATGAGTAAGATATGGAGTAGTAGTAATTTTTTGTTTGGTTTGGGTTTTTTTGTTTTGCTTTGGTTTTCTTCTAGAGTAGTGGAAGGTATAGCTGCTGAACTTTAAAATCACGTGTCCGTCCTTAACCATGGATTCCTATGCTTATTATGCCTTAGGGAGAGCTCAACTCATAAATACAAAGGGCATTTTATCTAAGCTTCCAGGACTACAAGCTCACCCTGGACTCTGAAAGTCACATGATGTTCTCCTTCAAGGTGTCACCAATTGTCAAGGTTTATTTATATTTACGAGACCTTATGGGTCTTCAGATTGTATCCTAAGTGACAACTCTGAAACCAGAGGAATAGTAACAATCTCAGAGTTTTAGCTGTTTGGGATTTAGCAAATCAATCTGTTGTCGTAAAGGTGACATTTGTGACCCGATGGGGTAGTTCGGTGTGCATGAGAAATTGTGATGTGGAGCCAGAGATATATATCCCTGGAGTAATCTTTTTATAGAAATGTATATATAGCTTTTTAGAGTTCCCATCCTCATTGAAAATCAATAGTAATCACAACCCAAAGTGCCAGGAGGCTCTAGCAGACATGTGGTGGTGGATTAAAATTGGATGGCTGAAATTGTAACGGCCTGCAGCTGCACCCTCCATTCCTATGACAGATGTTACCTCCCCGAAAGCAGGGACAAGTGATCAGTTCATGAATCTCCTGATCCACTGCAGTGTTCATCTGAGTATACCAAAGTAAACTGACGTGGATTCTAGTTGGCTGTAATACAGTGAAATTTGTCTTGGGACAGAAGATGTGTATTATATGGGCAGCAAGGATGTCTGGAGAAGTTCAGGAATCTGATTTTGACCTGTTGCTGAATGACCCCTGAGTTGTAAAAATAAGACTTGATAGTTCCATCAGGTGGTTTCAAAGCAACAAAAGTGCCCTTTTCCCTCTCCCTCACTGGGCTCCTGAAGCCCCACTGACATCTTGGGCAGGAGCTGTGCTTAACTTTGCCACTTTTCTGAAAAAGAGGAGAATTGCTGCTGGCTGAATTGATGGAAACATTGCCCATGTGAAGGTCCCTTCTTTCTCCACTAGTCTAACTGTGTAAATAGCATCACTGCAGGTTTGGGGAGGATGTTAGCACTGGTAGCAGATGGACAAAAATGCACACAAAACCTGGGCACTGCAAAGCAGTGACCAGCCAGAGAAAAAACAACAGGGTACCATCGTGGGTACTGCAATAACAGAGTGGCTGTAGCAGGGAGGGCAATCATCTTGGTGTTATTGCCTCTTCTTTTGGAAGTCATGAAATAATGATGGTACCAATATTCAATTCACCCCAGATGAGATTATGTAGCAGGAAACAATGTCTTCCTCAGGAGTCCTCAAATAGATTCCTCCAGCCAATTTTGTTTACGTTAGTAGATAGGCACATAAAAATGTAATTGCTATTTGCAGTGGTTTAGGGCAACCTGTCTGGGTTCCTTCAGACAGTTCAGAAGCTACTGTCCTGTAGATGATGCCTGCCAGTCCTGTGAAGTTGTGTCTGATGCCATAAAGCACCTTTAACAACACCAGAGACCTTTCTTATGCACCTGAGTCATGCTGCAAGCACCTGCACTGGGAACCTCTAGGAGTATAACAACATTTTTCTTGATTGATAAATTTTGGGAAACTATTTTCTTCACCAAAGAAGGCACATAGCAGTCTGAATTTGAAAAGTGAGGTATACTAAATAGAAAGAAACTATTTCTATATAGCAACAGACCTAGAGGAATGATTCTTTGAATGGTATTCATATGTATATGTCTATATCTATATACACCTATAAAGTTTTAATTGCTTGTATTGTAACTGTGCAAATATCTGTCATTAGTATGTCCTTGGAGATGTGCTGTGATACTAATCAGATTTGTTAAGATGCGACTACCTTAATATTCTCTTTTACACATCACAAACTCTGACTGACATCCCCAAGGGAAAAAATGCATAATGTGTCATTTCTGACCTGTTGCATGCACAAATTACTTGAGTTTTGTATGCAATAGGATAAAAAAATGCTATTGATTTTGAATTTGACTTTAGGAAGCTGATCTTTATTGCTAGTTGTCACTTGGCAGATTTTTCCTCCTGCTGTGAAATGTTTGATTCAAAATTTATGTTTAGAGAAATGGAAGCAGTGGTGGTTTTATAATATTTTTTAAAAAGTGTATAAATTCTATCCTAGCAGATAGACATTATTCATAAGCAAAATAAACATTCTATAAGACTGAATTTCAAATAAGTAACAAAAAACATGTAATATGTCAATCTTGTTCTGCTTACACAACCCTGCAGTTTAACAGAGCAGCTTTCCAGGGCTTGAAGCAAGGCACTGATCAGCATCAGGATTCTAGTGCAGAAGCAAGCTTAAAAGGTAGAGCTAAGGGAAGTACACAGAAATGCAATGCACTACATAATAACCAAAATGTAGAATAGTTCAGGGAATGGATTTGAACACTCTACAGATAAAACAGATTAAATGTTAGGGAACCTCTGATGCCAAAATCATTCTTCCCAGTTCTACACATATGTGTGAGGTATATAAAGGTCATTTCTGTATCACTTTAGAGATTCTTACTTTCTACAGAAAAAGAAACAAAACCAACATTCATTAGTATGAGGATTGGAAGACTTGTTATGCCATCTTTTATTTTTTTTAAAGATAAATATATGTAGCTATAGGTAATATTAAGGATCTAATTATTTTTTAATTTATTTCTTTAAAAATATAAATATAGTGATTCTCAGTTAGAGGCTACATGCATGTTGTGATGGCAAATAACTGAAAGTCTGCAACAGCCTTTCACCTTAGCTCTACTGATAGTTTTAAATGGCATATTTGCCATTTTCTGTGTGAAAAGGGAAACTAAATCTGTTTAACTTTGTATAGAGCAGCTCTGACACTTTCCTTACCTCTGTCATCCTAGAAAATTATCAGCTTTATAGGTTGTATCAGCTGTGGCAGAATATAGGTAATCTCAGGATAAGAAGCAAAGGTGATGAAAACGAGCAAACCAGGCACCACTTGATTCCTTGAAAGTTCAGATCTCTGTGTGGGCAAGAGCACCTGAAATCACTGGCGTTGATTTATAAGAGTATGTATCGTCAAGCAGACCAAGAACATATGTAACACATCTTTGAATATTTTAACAGTAGCTTACAAGCAGATACTGTAAACTAAGCTAAGTGGAGATACTGTGCTCTTCTACTGTTTTTGACTGTGGAGTTATAAATATTTTTACTACTGTTATGGTATCTGTTAGAAAACAAATACCAACCAAGACTGTTCAGGTTATCACTTTATTTTGTGAAAAAGAGTAATTTGAAAATTTTCAAAAGTGGTCAGGTTTCAGTTACTGTAGTTTTGGTTTGTGTCCAGAATAAACATTTCTTAATACTCCAGGAAGCAGATTGTCACTACTGTTAACTGTCCATTAAACAGTTAATGCATGCCAACTGTTTACTTAGCTAAGTTATGTGCTCACCTTCCTACCACCTTTCTAGTATCAAACCTATGCTTTCTGGAGCTAAGTCTGCTTTGGCACTGTGACTCTTATTTTTCAGGAGATTATTTCATTAAGTAAACAATGCCACAAACAAAGGTATTTAAAATCAGCTACAAGCCTCCTCACAACTTGAAAGATACTGGACATGTGAATCATTTGTGTTTCTGTTAGATGAAATGGAGTATATGCCTTCCTATTGCCATTGATACATGTCCTTGACAGCAGAAGTCCAGCCAAACCTCGAGTGGCATAGACACATTAGCTCCATTATAGTCAATGGAAATACGCTTAATCACATCACCTGGGAATCTGGCCTACAGCCCATAACAAGACAGTCCTTTGGAAAGTAATAATATTTTATGCTTTCATTAATCTGTCTCCTAGTTCTGTAGCTATTTGTGGCAGAGTGAAAAATGTCATATTATAATAAAAAAGGCCAGTTATAGCTATTTCACCATGTTTCCTCCCAGATTACCTGAGCTAAAAGTAGCCCCAGTTCAGGAAAAACTCCTTCTGGAAAGCACAAGAGCCTGACTTTCATAATGCAATATTTACATTTATTTTAAATACTCTGATTATGGAGCAATTCCAAAGCAACTGTCATATTTGTAATTTTTAGGTTCCAAGGGTTACATTCTATTTCCTCTGCTTTGACTATTTGCCTAGGACGTATGTCTACAACCACGACAATAATGGATGGTAAGAACGGCTCTGTTCCCTCATCATCCATGAAAGTGGGCAAGAAATCAGTTACAGAAGACCTTGTGACAACGTTCAGCTCACCAGCAGCATGGCTTCTTGTTGTTGCTCTGATTGTTACCTGGTCAGCAGTAGCTATTGTAATGTTTGACTTGGTGGATTACAAAGCCATTGCAGGTAAAATTCAGCATATTCTGTTTGATATCTTGTATATTAAAATTTTAAAAATTGTTAAGGAGTGTGGATTATGTAAATATGCATGTCTCATGCCTTCCTGGAGCCAGCACAGTGTCTCTGCTGAGTTTACTAAGAGACGAGATACTGTGAGAAATGTCAGAACATATTAGTTTACACTTAATACATCTTTATAATTTAACTGTCTCCATTTTGCAGCCCATCCTCATCCTGGAAAATGTGTGTGTTGAGAGTAATATAGTATGTATGTGTGAGCATGTATGGTTAGATTTCTGTTTTGCAATTTCTATTTAAAATTAATTCAAGAAAAATAAAATTAATTATTAATTCAAATTTTCTGAAATATATTTTAAAATCTTTCATAGTTGCCTTGAGTATTCTGACACAGTTTATACAATTCACAGCTTGTACCATTAAATGACAAAAAATATGCAAATTATCATTTCTAAACATGCTAACCCTAAATTCATCTTCAAAAACCACAAACACAGGGGACTAGTTTCTTAACATTAGCTAAGTCACACCCTTGTCTTCAAAAAGGCAATAATTCTAGAGTAGTTTAAAACTTGGAAAACTGACTGAACAGGATCAAGTTTTTGGGGCACATATTGCTTACTGAGGAGAAAAATGAGAATGAAATGTGTGGTACAAGGGCTGTGACCGTGGTTGAGAAATGGGAAGAAAGGAATGGGGAACAGAAATTATCTCATTGCTATTTGTTTTTTATGCCTTGGATCTAGCAATGATGTATATTGGAAAATAACATAAATTAACTACTTATGTTTGTAAAGGGTGCATAGTGTTCAGCAAGCCACTTCAGCAGCAAAACTGCTGAGAGGTAAGTAGGCTGTAATGACTGGGAAGCATGTAAGTGATTATTAGGGTCCTTTTCTTTCTTAAATAAGACTGTAGCTCTAAAGTTATCACATCTGTCACAATAATTAAATAGGAATTGAAATTCAGACTTCAGCTGTTTAATTCAAAACAAATTGAGTTAATGTTTCAAAGTTATTTTCCTAGACTTTATTGACAAATCCATAGAATTTTGTCCTGCTATGTATCAATATTGACCTCAAGATTTACTTAAAAATCTTTTGAGACATAGATAGAGCTTGAAAGCAACCGACCAATCTGGGATCAATGGATGACATAGAATCTTGAAATGTGGAGAAGACATATCACAAACCTCTGGTTTTTGCTTCTCATTTGCCTTTGTTTTCTGAAGGAATTCACCTGAGTTACAGCAAAACAAAGTTTTTTGAGCGATCCTCCAAAACAAGTATCTGATTTTAGTTTGGACACAACACACTTAATGCGACAACATAGATGTAAACCAAGAGAGAGAAACCACTATATTCTGCTTTTAATTTTCCATATTAACTGTCAGTCAATCAATCAATCAATCAATCAAGTTCTTAATATGATTTTAGTAAGCAGTCAGGAACCAGGGCACAACTCAGGCAAAACTCCTAAATTAAGCGATTCCTGAACTGGCTGTCAGCTCATGCATGCTCAATATGCAAGTCAAGGTAATGCTAAGCGATGAGAATCTGCATTCATACCGGAGACTGAAGGAAACTTCCTAAGCAGATGGAAATCTAATGTTCATGTTGTATTGGTTAAATGGGCTTAAATCCCAAAGGTGTTGATGGAAACTGACATTTTGAGACCAGGCTGTAGAAAAAAAAAATTCAAAAATTAAAATTAAAAAAAAACTTAAAAATTAAAGTTCTTATTTTGCGGAGTTCTCTGAGAGATGATGCTTTAGTATTTTGAGTTCATCAGCTAATTTCTTTTCCTTCCCAAAGATATTTCTGTTCCTAAGTGATTAATTAACCCAACGTTTAAATCAGATCTCAACGGTGAAATATTAAGAGAAGGAACTGCTGTGCTCCTTTGGACTGGGATTTATTAGAATGTTTTCTGTATTTACATAAATCTAACAATGACTACAAAGCTCTTATCACAGCCCCTGGGTTTCAACTCCCGAGTTCCTACTCAGTCTGATTTTTCCAGGTGAAGCCCACTGATTTATAAAAATTCCATTGAAATAGCTTTAGATTTCACATAGGACCACCTGACTGACATTACTGAGACTGGAATGATTTTCACCCTCTGACAGTCTGGCCTTTTGCCTCCAGTGGAGGTAATGCTGTCTTTTCGTATAGAAAGTAGAATTTGGAGCATATTTTTATATGACTCCTTAAACCTAAAACCCAGTGATACTTTCTCTTGGGTTTGACACTGCTTTTTTGACAGCCAGAACTACATTAAAAAAAGTTATTTTCGGGACTGTAAGTTTAGTTTTGCAAGTATGATTACAGTTAATTTCCTGGTTTTTAAATGTAAATGAAAGATGCCAAAAATTATATCCAACTGTATATGTTTAATCTATAAAACACGGAATATTCTGCGCATTTTTTCCTTAAATAACACTTGCCTTTCATAAGTCAGTGCATTCAATTTCTTTCTTATTTCTTTACCTGAAGTTCCATGAAGTTCAAGTTTAGAAAGTATGCATAGCATATGAATGAGGCAAGCTGAGAGAACTGAATCCAGTTAGTCTAGACAAGAGGAAACTGAGAGGTGACCTAAGAGCAGCCTCCAGGTTTTTGCAGGGCAGCTACAGAGATGACAGATGACAAATACTTACCAAGATGATGTCTGTGTCATATCAGGTGATATATCAGGTTGAGTATGGCCAGAAGTTGCTGCCTGAAAGGTTCGTGTTGAACACTGGAGTGGAAAAAGTCTTTACCAGGAGGGCAGTGCAGCACTGAAACAGGTTCCTGAGAGGGGCTGCAGATTCCCCATCCTTGTTAGTGTTCAAGATTTGGCCAGATGGCCATGGCTGTCCAGATCCAGTGTTGGCAACAGTCCCTCTACTGAGAAGGATTGGACCAGATGAACTCTAGAGATGTCTACTGATCAACAACTATGTGTTTGCAAGATTTCCTTAAAATGTCTGTTAGCATCACATAAGGTATTTGGAAAGCACCTAACCAGAGACCTCAATGGAGACATAAAGGTAACTAAGAGGCAAATTCTCCCATCCTTGCATATGAGGAGTGTATCTGTGGACCCTGGTATCAGGATTTCACTCACTCATTTGTACAGTTAATGCTATTGATTTTCGTGCAGGTGTTTCATGCTGATTCCTAGTGGGATGACTTAAAAGCGTACTGTGTACATCTGCAGAGCCAGGCCCTTGCCAGATTTGTTGGAAGCAAGGACCTGAGCTGGGCAAGTTCTGGGAGACCTGAGTAAAGTGCCACACACCTCCACAGGGGGTCTGGCTCTGACCTACAGACTCCTGCCAGAGACTTCCACTATGTTCCAGAAGTGATGGTCTCCATAGCAGAGCCGATGGCAGTGACTGTGCAGTGCTGGACTGACTGCAGCAGAAAACAGGAGCAGGTTGACATAGTAAACCAGGCTGAGAACTGTGTGGCTCAGGAATACACACAGATTTGTTCCTCCTGATTACACTACAGAGCTGCTAGCCTCTGGCCAATAAGAGAAGTGTAATGCCCTAAATTATGAGTTTACCTGGATTACGCAGAGTTTCAACAACAAAATTGCAGAGTAGGAACAATTTTAGACTTGAATTTAAGTATTGTTTTCTTATTTCAACAATTAACAATTTTTCTCACATTATCTTAAAGGCAAATCATTCCCAAAAGACATAAAATATTAGTATATCCATTTTAGCTCTTAAGTATTCTTTTAATTTATCAGTACAAACTTCACATTGACTCTATGATTACAGAGTGCGAACACAGAAATCTTGCTTCTTGTTTACTACGGTTTCATGTGCTTTTAGAAGTAAACTATCAAGTTTGGGAATTTTGACTGTTTATACACGATGAAATTTGTCCCAGAAGTAACTATACGAAAATGAAGTGTTTGGTTGCATCCTAAAACAGATGTGGTATATTACTTTTTTGGAGACCTTCTCTTTTTGGTATTTGGAAAGGACCCTTTAGAACTGAGGGAGGCTGAGGGAAGATAACACTTATGTAGCTAACGTCAGGTGACATGAGTTCAAGCTCCACTCACAGAAAGTTTTAAGATATATTTTGTGTAACTTTACACAACTAGAACACGGCTACTGTACATTCTAGAGTACTCTGTAGTATCCAGGAGGTGCTGATTATGATACAAAATATTACAGGAGGACCCTGCGTTATGGGGTACACATGTAAAGCTGTGCCTCCTTGGTGGATATGTGTCAGTTTGTTCAGAGGTTAGAAGAGAGATGGGATCTGCAAGTCAGCTTTGGCAGTGGAATTTGAGGAAAGTGTGAGACAAGAATTAGGTCAATACTGAAAGATTCACCCCTGTTCTACCTACCTAGAAGAAGGAAATTAAATTTTGCTGTGCTTTGCTTTAGTGTATTATGTTGATTCCCTTGAGGAAAGAAATCAAAGCTTGCATTCCTATCATGTTGTATTGTACAACTATAAACATGACTGAAATATTTCTAATGTGGTATGAAGGTGACACGCATTACAAAAGCCTGAATTAAGAAACTATGAATCTCATGCAGTATGTAGCATGTATGAATATGCAATAAGTAACATACCACTTTGGAAGTTCTCTTACACGTTCTCAGAATTTTCAGGAATACAGAAAAAAGATTAATTTTGTTTTTATGTGTGCTTTGCAACAGTTTGTTGTAACTACCATCTTTTCTGATAGAAAATAAATCTTGTTAATTGGCTTCACAATTCATGAATGTATTTCACACATTTCTTGTACACATAACTGGATTGTATATTTTAATTGGTAAATGTAACTAAATAATTTAAGATTATTTAAGTCCTAAAGATTGATTACACAGGAATCCACATTTGCTAATGGGCTAGTAAAGTGTTCAGAATTCCCTGCCATCTCTGTGACCAATTACAGCTAACTAGCACCACCCTAATTTCAGCTTGAGAGTGTAAATGGGTAGTGATTCAGACAGTCACCTAAAGGCC